TAAAGATAAAGTATTTACATAGATAAGTCATACATCTGCTTCAATGATTTATCATCATTGTAATATTTATAACAATTTAAAATAATCTCATCTTTAATATAATCTAATTTTTATTTTTTTGCATATCATAAGTTCGATGAACACGAGAAAATATGTGTCAAATTTTCTTTTCATAAAAGCAATTTTAGATTCACTCACCGGATATTTCAATATTTTTTACAATGGTATCCATATGGTAGTCATATTCCATTTTACCTCATTTACTTCATCGTTATTCAATGTCAACATAATCACTGTAGTTATAAAAAAATATGTTAATATTATAGTTGGCCACATGATACATCGGATCATTAGGTCTTCAAAATAATACTTAATTAATAATGTCAACAAGAAGTATTGGAATAAAGACAGAAAATAAAGATAATAATTATTTATAATCCACATTTTATCAGTTTATTCTTTTAAGCTAGAGCTTACGTTAACGATGTTAACAATAGACTGAGCATGTGAATTTATTGGTCGAGTTCGGCAGACTTGAAAGAATAAACTGATAAAATGTGGATTATATTAGGTGTTGGAATTAATTCGTAGCGTTTTTTTTATTGGAATAAAGACAGAAAATAAAGATAATAATTATTTATAATCCACATTTTATCAGTTTATTCTTTTAAGCTAGAGCTTACGTTAACGATGTTAACAATAGACTGAGCATGTGAATTTATTGGTCGCGTTCAGCAGATTTAACTGTTGCGGAATGGATCCATGAGCACTGCTATTGGTATTCTTCTAGATCATCTAATAGCAGCGAGTGTTCACGGATCCGTAACAATTGAGTCTGCCGAACGCGACCAATAAATTCACATGCTCAGTCTATTGTTAACATCGTTAACGTAAGCTTGAAAGAATAAACTGATAAAATGTGGATTATATTAGGTGTTGGAATTAATTCGTAGCGTTTTTTTTTTTAATGAAAGAATGTTATTTATTTCACATGAGCATTAAAAAATACATTAATGAAAGTACTTCCCATCACTTGTAAAACGCTACGAATTAATTCCAACACCTAATAAATAATTATTATCTTTATTTTCTGTCTTTATTCCAATTCTTCTTGTTGACATTATTAATTAAGTATTATTTTGAAGACCTAATGATCCGATGTATCATGTGGCCAACTATAATATTAACATATTTTTGACAAACTAACATTGACAAACTTACAATTCGTACTTTGAAAAGTCCTAGAAGTTTGCTTCGCATCAATGTTTTCCGAAAATTGGCGAATTTATTGACAAATCTAAGGTAAAAATCTCTTCGAAGATTTGAAAGTCATGCAATTACCCTATACTTATAACAATCACATATTCGTCCGCGTTTATATATATATATACAATATATATATATA